CCTGTCTGAAAATGAGCTGATCAGATTTTGGCCACTTTGTGATGTCATAACGATGTTTTGGCTTGTGTAACCATTAGCCAATCACCAACCAAGGTAACCCCCCCCCCCCCTTATCACCTGAATCTCCTCCCAGAGCACCATTAGGTGCGTTCACACCGGAGTACTTTGGTGTACTTTTCCCACAATAGTTCATCAGAACTACGATATATTTGAGTTCACACCAAAAAGCCCCAGGAACTAAGGTAGCTCAACTTAGTTCGTGAGACTCGCTTTTCAGGCCCTGCTAGAGAGCAGGGACTGTTGTGGGAGAAAGTAGTTTGTACGTCTGATTGGCTGTGCGGAATGCAAACCACGCCGAGTGTTTACTCGGAGGACGCGAAGCGCCGCATTCAGAAGCTTCTACTGAATGCAGTTTCTGTGGCTCTGCAAAGTTAGCAGACCTGGCAAAGTCATGTCGGGACGACTACCAAGGTAAAATAAAATACATGCACTGCACTGTTTTAATCTGCACAATACTGGTCTTAGATGTACTTTTATTTGCTCAGTAGATCGAGCTAGCCATGCTAGAACTTGCTAACGTTAGGTCCAAGCTGGCTAAACAACATCTAGCTAGCTAGCTATTCTCAGCCGTGCCCGCTATGAACACGTATTGACTTGTGAATAAGTGTGCAATGTTCTGTAATTTGCTTCACTAACTCATGGCACTAATCGTGTGTTTCAGGCGAGGTGTTTCTCTCAGGATTAGAAACTAGTTTTCCCCTCTGGGATAAAACGATAATATAACGTTAGCAATTAGCATGCTAGCTGGACATAATGCTACCTCTAACAATACATTAGTTGCTATAATTTCAAGTAATTTGCAACATTCATTCTACATGTTAATGGTAAAAGCTTAAACAGTTGATTACCTGCATGCCACAAAGACTGATGTTCTAATATCTTTGCACATTTAAGTAGAAATGTAATTGAAATTCTATTTATTTTTCCTTTTTTTTATTGATTGTTATAATTGTACTCAGCCATGTTATGTTAGATGTCAATCCACTTACACTGTAACTACTCTGGCCTTGAAAGAAGAAGAAGGTGATATAACTATTAATAAGTAAATCGAAATATGTATTGCATCACCGCTACTTAGAGTTCATGCACAAGTCATTTGCTTGATAATGAATTGATGCATTGTAGCAATAATTGTAGTCAATATCAAAGAGAGATGTAATTTCGATATTTCAGTCCAAGCTTGATTGGCCCAGCTACCTCAGTATATGTGATGTATAAATAAAAGGATTACATGAAAACGGTTTGATCTTCTATCTCAGAGTAAACTGGACTATTAATCAACATTTTGCCTCGTTGTTGCGATTAAACTGATCTTGTATCTTGCATATTTCACCTTAGGAAAGTGGGCACGCGATGACAGCTTCCTTGACACCATCATGGCGATGGACCGCCGTGCCATGGTCAGCAAGGAGAATGAGGACCTGCGTGCCAAGGAGATGCACGACGAACGGCTGCTGCATTCACACAAGGCCCAGGAATCGAGGTGGAGCAACAAAATACCTTTCAGGCTGGGCTTCTGGCAGTGCTAAGCGAGCTGATTAAATCCAACAGGCCTTCAATACAAAAATTAAGAAAAACTTGTCGTTGATAAACTGTACAATGACTTGTTGGGAGGCGTGTGGTGCAGTGGTCTGGTGCGTTGGTGTTCGGATCAGGGGAGCACAGGTTCAAACCCCACTGCAGTCAGGATGTCGTTGTGTCCCTGGGCAAGACACTTCACCCCAAATTGCCTACACCTGGGAGAGTTCATTTTGTATTATTGTGATTATATATATATATATGCCACTGTTATTAATACTGACACCTAACTTTATTAACGCGTTAACTTGACAGCCCTAATATATATATATATATATATATTGCCACTGTTATTATATTGTTTTGATACTACTGACACTTATTGATCTGCTGCTGATAAATAAAAGAGAACCTACATGCACGGCACTAGCATCATGACTGTCTTTGTTTAAACCAGCAGCAGTGCAGCGGTACACAGACTAACCTGTGTGTGTGTAACGTAGTTCTTCAGGTGTGCATGCTTAACATGTGTGTATACAAACGTTTTTAAAGAGCTTTCAACCTCATCCCATTTTCTTTAACACACATTTAACATAATATACTCATTAATATACAAATATACAGTATGAGTACTGTTTTGATACTGACATTTAATCTTTGCACTAAGGTGTGTCTGCACTATTGTAATTGTGTCTGTTGACTGGTAAATAAAAGAGAGAACAAAATGCACTGTACAAAATATCAGCTTTATTGTCAATTTACAATTTCCATGCTGTTCAGATGCCTCTCCACAACGTTGCTTCCAGGCGAATACAGAGGAGTTGAAAAGAGCCCTTGGACATTCGGAAATCTTCGATCCACTGCACACGTTGGCACCACCTCCCACCAGGCCGACGTTCTATTGTTCACCCAGAGTTCCGTAGTATTCGCATATCTGGAACACATACAAAGACACAAATTAGCCCTACATAACTCCATAAATCCTACATTAGATAGTATTAATGTGATTTAATGAACGTACCATTGCTGTTCTTTGGGCGTGATAACGGCCATCATCCTCGGCAACATAGCGTGTGCTTTCGTCGTCCAATCCTTTTGTTAAGGCTTCTTAACCGCCTTCGCCTCCGACTCAGCATTTCTATTGCATTTGAATGGTCGATCTGTATTTGTATTTGTGGCTGAGTTATTGGCTTAAATAACTCCGTTACGAAGCTGTATAACACGACCACCAAAACGTCAACTCCATACCGTGTCTGAGGTCGGAAGGTAAACAGAAGCATCCAGCGGAAGCGGAAGTTTTTTTTCTTCTTCTCTCGGTTTTTTGGCGAATTGCTACTTTAAGGTGCATACCGCCACCTACTGTACTCGCCGTGAAGTTGTTTGCGGCCTGCCAGTAAACCCAAAGCAGAAGAGGAAGAAGTGACGTCAGCGGCTCATTTGCCTAATCCACCCCCAGGAACTCATTTTGGTGTGAACGCGATCTGCTTTAGTTCATCAGAACTAAAGAGCTCTCATGAACTAAAGTTCTCATGAACTACTGTGGGAAAAGTACTTGGTGTGAACGCCCCTAATGTGTTCTTTTTAACAAAATATCTCTCAGAGGGGCGTGGGGAGGGGCTCCTTATTTTCATCTAAAGTAACAGACAGAGAATCAGCACTTTGGAAACAGGGCTGAAACAGAGGGGTTTATGGGATGCTGCAATGATCTGTTTGGTGTTTCAGCCAATCAGAGACAGGTTCTGTATATATCTGAGACCTGTGATATATTGATGAAAAAAAGAGTATAGTAGGGGACGTTTAAAGTATTTGATTAAATGTCCTGTATTTGTTTCATTGACAGGCGAGGGAACAGGAGAATGCAGCAGAGGACGGAGACAGTGTGAGGTTTAAAGCAAACGCACAGTGGAAGAACGAGGAGAGAGACGGAGACGAAAGCAGAACGACTCTCTGATCTGAAAACAGCTGATTCACTCTGAACAGTCTGCAGAGCGACACCGACATCACGACTGATATTTAAATATATTTAAAGCAAGTCACTTTGTGTTAAAGATTAGAAACATTACAAGCCGTCTGCTTTCCTAAATATTTAGACTTTTCGAGCAGTTTCAAATACACCTTGGTCCAAAGGCTGCTAATTGACGCTATAATTGATAAATGGATGTTTGAAACAGTGATCTCCATACTGAGCAAGTCCATGAAATGCTGCTGAAAGCTCTGGAAAAAGATAGTTAATTGATCATTTTTAGATCTTACATTTATTATTGTAATGACGGACCAGATTAAATGACAGTCAGATTTTTAAAGTGTCAAAAAGTGGCGCTCTCCAGACTCCAGACACACACAAACATCACAGCAGCAGATTTGATTGAAATTGACTCGACGAGAATCAGCTGCAGTCGTGTTCAGATTGAGTTTTCATTTTAAACAAATCCTCTGATCAGCCTGAGCGATACGAAACAAATCATAAATAAGATGGTGCTTTATTCTGAGAAGACGATTTATTCTGAAAGCAGGTAAAATGTTCTCACCTCAATTCAGTTTGAAGTCGAGGGAAAATAATGAAATACTGGACAGAAAGTCTCATCAGGACGTCTGTGTTTCTGTACAGAGACTCTTTATCATCAGCCTGTCAATTCAATTTACTCGATTGTATTTTGTCGTTAAAACCAAACATGTTTATAATTTAACAAATATCTGATGTTCAAATGTCACTCTTTATTTCCAGACAAACATTTGATCTATCTTTGCACTTTATTTGCAAAAATGTAAATAATATTTCTGGAGCTCTGTAGTAACACTGGACCATAAAACATCTGTATAATAAAACATATTTTAAATTGTATCATTTCAAATTGTCTGCTTTTTTTATGTTTTGATTCCAGACGTGTTTCTGCTTTTACATATTTTAATGTAACACACATCTAGATGTAATGTAGGGAAAGTAATCAACTGAACATCAGCCATGAGTTTCTCTTAAAGGTCACCCATCATGCTATTTATTTATTATTTATTTTGCACACACACACACACACTTGTTAGGACCAGAACACCCTGTATAGGGGTACAGTGGTGGCCGAGTTTGAAAAAATAATTGATCATATCATTTTTCTTTAGCTAAATAATGAAAACGGGTCCCACAGACCCGAACACCGTACAAGGGTTAAGTTTAGATTGAACACTGGTCAGATGATCAAACAGAGGAAACAAATGGGTTAAAAACATGTTTGAGTCAGAACTTGAAAGTCTTCCAGATTCTAAAGTTCATCTTTCCAATATATCTGCTGGTCATAAAAACAGATGACTGCATTTCTATCAATGATTAACTAGTAAAAGAGATTAGAGGGATTGAAAGTGAATGCTGACATTGTTGAAGAGAGCCTCGACACCAGTACACTGTGGGAGATCTCCAACAACACAGCTAGAGGACTGTAAGAGGCAAGCCGAGGGGAAGTACAAGGTGAGCTGCTTCTTGAAGTTTCCTGAGCTGCCATGTGTGTTCAGAGACTTTCAGAGATCCTGTGTCTCTGAGCTGCAACCACAGCTTCTGTTCGAGCTGCCTGCAGACATTCTGGGAACAAAGTAAGAACAAAAACTGTGCACTTCAAACTTTGATATATGAGCTTTTTCCTTTTTATCCTACGTTGTTGTTTTTTTAAACGTATTAAATCTTATGTGTTTATCTTCCAACAGATAGGCCTACCTGGACAAAGTCATCGACCTGAACTGAATACCAAAGTACATTTCCCTCTGAAAGACATCCTGACTCCATCTGCTGGTGAATAAATGACATAGCAGCATTTCCTGATGTTGATAATTCACCCTGTGACGGAGGGCAGAGAAAACGAAAGAGGATTTTGACATTGTTGAACAGAGCTGAGACGCCATTACAGGGTGTGAGATCTCTGCTGCGAGACACGTTTGGAGTATATTTGGGGAGAAGTGGAGAGACATTGGAAGTTGGTGAGTCCTGCTATTGAAAATAACTTTAATATCAAATGGCTGAGAAAACCGTTCTTGTTGAAAGTTACCTGAGCTGCCATGTGTGTTCAGAGACTTTCAGAGATCCCGTGTCTCTGGGCTGCAACCAGGGGTTAAGTTAGGATTTGATATGTGGGGGGGCTCTGTGTGGAGGTGCGAGAGGGGGGCGGAGGTCGAGGATCTCATTATTTGACCTTAAGGGATATACACTGTGGCCCTAAAGCAACTGCTCCATTATATGTATCAAATGCACACATTGATGCCACCAAATGTCACAATACAAATAGAAAGTACTACAAATAAACTGGAATTAATTTACATCTTAAATTATTAATATATATATACACAAAAAAAGGTTTACAAATATCCAACCTTCAAATAGCTTTTTTAAATCAACACTGCTCTGCACACTTGCTAAAGAAGATTTGTGTGGAAATCTCAATTCATTTGTATGGCTGCGTGAGTATGGCCAAAAGTATGGGAGTAAATCTCACTGTAAACTATTTAATCATCACCAAATTCTGTGTGTTATGACCGATCATAACTCAGCTTTATGCAGACATACATTTAGCATGGTGTACAGGGCCGGTTTTTGGCATATGCGACATAGGCGGTCGCCTAGGGCGCCAGATCTGGGGGGGCGCTGCGCTGGTACTGTAGCTCTGGGAGGGAAAAAAACATTTTTGACTGTTTGCGCTCATCCTAATTTTCGGCCTTGATGTAAAACATTCATAATTAAGTATATGTAACACCCTTTTCACCCCGGTTACACTTTTCATTTGCCCTGTACGATGGGCGCTGTAAGTGATGAAAGTGGGGGGTGTTGGCTTATCAGGCGTCCACAGCTCACAGCCAAAGTGGGCGTGGGATCGAGCGAGAGAGATAAATGCAATTTATGTAAACAAATATTTCCAAGGCACTCCTTTATAATTATTTGGATAAACAGGTTTGAAATCATTTCAATGTATACTATAGGACAGTAAACCAAAAATATCATTTAAAACTTGAGAGATACAAAAATATGCATAAATAAATGTTAACTAGGTAAAATAAGATATGAATGAACAACAAAAATAAAATAAGTTACATTTATTTGTTATTGGCTATGGGTTATTGGTTATGTTCACATATTTGGTTATTAAAATGTAAACCAATCTTTTTCATATGGGTGTTGAGTTGTACCCCCTACATTAGATCAGGTCTCTAGTAATGTGTGCTTAAAGTGCACCGGCTAAAATCTCGCCTAGGGCAGCAAATTGGTTAGAACCGGCCCTGATGGTGTAGGAAACGGGCTCCGTGTTACAAGACGGGTCGGGGGTTTGGCGGTACCGCTGCAGACTCTCTGCGCACGCGCACACACACACACTCACTCACTCACTCACTCACTCACTCACTCACTCACTCACTCACTCACTCACTCACTCACTCACTCACTCACTCACTCACTCACTCACTCACTCACTCACTCTGCTCGAAGGAGCCGCGGTGCTGCAGCTCCTGATCGGAGCAGAGACACGTGTTCACTAAGCGGAACAACTATATCCTCACAGAGATCTGCTATTTTAAAGTAAAGTCAACACATATCGACCCTAAATAAAGTCTATATTAAGAACGAGAGATGTTTTAACATATGGCTTAAACAAATGACAAATGAGCGAGGGTTATAACGTCAGAGCATCGTCCTATGTGCCGGGGCTGAGCCCCGGACAGCCCCGGCACAATTTAACCCCTGGCTGCAACCACAGCTTCTGTTCGAGCTGCCTGTAGACATTCTGGGAACAAATTAAGAACAAAAACTGTCCACTTCAAACTTTGATATATGAGCTTTTTCCTTTTTATCACGTTGTTGTTTTTTTAAACGTATTCAATCTTATGTGTTTATCTTCCAACAGATAGGCCTACCTGGACAAAGTCATCGTCCTGAACTGAATACCAAAGTACATGTCCCTCTGAAAGACATCCTGACTCCATCTGGTGGTGAATAAATGACATAGCAGCATTTCCTGATGTTGATAATTCACCCTGCGACGGAGGGCAGAGAAAACGAAAGAGGATTTTGACATTGTTGAACAGAGCTGAGACGCCATTACAGGGTGTGAGATCTCTGCTGCGAGACACGTTTGGAGTATATTTGGGGAGAAGTGGAGAGACATTGGAAGTTGGTGAGTCCTGCTATTGAAAATAACTTTAATATCAAATGGCTGAGAAAACCGCTCTTCTTGAAAGTTTCCTGAGCTGCCATGTGTGTTCAGAGACTTTCAGAGATCCCGTGTCTCTGGGCTGCAACCACAGCTTCTGTTCGAGCTGCCTGCAGAAATTCTGGGAACAAAGTAAGAACAAAAACTGTCCCATTTGTAAAAGAAAATCTTCTAAAGTTAATATTTTGGTGAACTTTGCAATGAAGGAGCTGGCTGACTCATTTGCAGAGAGACAGAAAGCTAGATCATCTGAGACAGAAAAAGGAGAGAAGAAGGTGGACGTGGTGTGTAGTAAACATCCAGAACAGCCTAGATTGTTCTGTAAGGATGAAGAGAGAGCTGTGTGTCCTGTCTGTGAGTTTTCTCTCCACCAGAGTCACGAGGTGGTTCCTGTAGAACAAGCAGTCAGTGAGCTGAAGGACCTGCTGAAATCTGACTTAGAGTCTCTGCAGGACAAGAGGGACAAATACAAAGGAGTGGAGGAAACATACAAGGAAGTGATTCAAGTGTCCGAGAAGCAGCTGCTGTCCACAGAGAGGCAGATCAGAGCAGAGTTCATCAAGCTCCATCAGTTCCTGAAAGAGGAAGAGGAGTCCAGACTGGCAGCTCTGAGGGAGGAAGAGGAGCTGAAGGGGAAGACTATCAGCAGAGAGATGAAGAGCATTCAGGAGCACATCTCCTCTCTGTCACACAGTATCTCTGCTGTTGAAGAAGAGCTGCAGAAACACAACGGGCCCTTCCTCAGCAGTTACAAAGCCACTCAGAGCAGAGCCAGAGTCCAGAGCTCACTGTCAGACCCACAGCTGCTCTCAGGAGCGCTGACAGATGTGGCCAAACACCTGGGCAACCTGTCCTTCAGAGTCTGGGAGAAGATGAAGGACCAGGTCCACTTCAGTCCTGTCCTTCTGGACCCAAACACTGCAGGCAGATGGCTCTCTCTGTCTGATGATCTGACCAGTGTGAGACATGGAGGCAAAGATCAGCAGCTTCCTGATAATCCAGAGAGATTCACTAAGTATCCTAATGTTCTGGGCTCTGAGGGCTTCAGCTCAGGGAAACACAGCTGGGAGGTGGAGGTGGGAGATCATCCTGACTGGAATATAGGTTTGACTAAAGAGTCAGCTGACAGGAAGGGAAAGAGACGTGCCTCACCAGAATATGGAATCTGGTGTTTAGCACATAGCAGTGGAAAATACACTGATGGTGCTGGTAAGACTGTCAGAGTGAAGAAGAATCTCCAGAGGATCAGAGTCCAGCTGGACTATGACAGGGGGGAGGTGTCCTTCTACGACCCTGAAGACATGACTCCCATCTGCACTCTCACAGACACTTTCACTGAGAAACTCTTCCCATATTTCAGTATTGGAAAAGCTGGTGATGCTAAAACTGCTGATATCAAAATCTATCAAAGTGAGATTTCTCTGTGATGTTCAGGAGTGTTGGTTCAGACTTTATTCTGACTTCGTCTGTCTGGATCCTTTTGAAATAATCAAGGTAAAAAACAACAGATGATAATCAGAATTTAATTTGAGTCTGTAAGATTTTAAATGTTAAGAAGATTTGATCATGTTTTATTTACAGAGTTTTACACGTTTTACTCAAAGTCTCAGTGCAACAAAACTAATGATTTGTTTATTTTTATAGTTTATCATTTTGTTATACTTTATTATCATGTTTTTATAGCTTTAATGTCATGAGATTGTTTGATTATGTTTTTTGTGAATTCTTGGCTTTTAAGAAATGTATTCATTTTGTATGTCGTGCTGAAACTGCATGAAATAAACCAAACTAACAAATGAAAGCTGTCAATTCTCCTTTTATCAACATCTAGTTAATAATGAGACACTATATAGCACTATAAGTCATGAGTTTAACTTTCTGATATTTGTAGGTCTTTTGATGAATTATGTTTAGATATGGATATATTGTTTTACTCTCCACGGGCAAGTCATTTAATACTTCTATTTCATTCTTTCATTGTTGCAATGTTTCTTTGGGACGTTTTCCGTACTGTATACATGGACGATAACATTTATTGTGATTGAAAATGTCATTTTTTTTATCAACCTGAAAGGAATCACAGCTGTAGAATGAAGTTTAGTATTTGTAATGCTGCTTCAGATATCTTATGATTCAATAACCAGCAGTTTGATGCAGAAATGTGTCTCTGAACTTGATATTGGTTTCTTCAGGTGAATCTGTCATATGTGACAAATTACAAATATAAATGACAAAAGACAATTGTACAACAAACTATAATATAAATAAATAATTCTTAATGATTTAATCTCTTCTTATTTTTTGCATTGCATCCCTTCAAACATCTGTTTTAACCTCAACATGAATTGACAGCCAAACTCATGAAATCTACATTTCCTTTTGTGAAGTCATGTTGTTAACCTGCTGTAAACAAAGAAGCTCCCACCCTGATGAAGGAGAATCAGCAGAAAACATGTGAGGGGTAAAGCATGGCATACTGGAGCTGTGCCACGTGTTTGATTTGATGGAGTTGTTTTGATTCTCTCTTAGAAACAGTCAGGAGTCACATTTACCTTTCTCCAACTCCACTGCAGCATTATAACATATAACAAGTAGCTTCAACATTAAAAAGAGTAATGCATTACAATCATTTCCTGCTAAATACATATTTATTCACTTTGATACTCTGTCTTCATTTACTTCAAATCCCAATGATCCAGTTGTTGATCAGCTGTGTTATTTAAAGGTCACCTATCATGCTATTTTTAGGCTATAGCATAGGTCTCAGATATATAAAAAACATGTCTATGAAGTGTTTTGCTCAAAATACCAAACAGATCACCCATTCTAGCCATGCCTCATATCCCTCTATTTCACTTCCTGTTTCAAAAGTGCTGATTTGGGGTATAAAGCTTTAATAAAAAAAAAAATTGATTTAAAAACAAGAAAAAGGGGCTGAGCTCATGCGGGACCCGGCCGCTAGGTCCCCTTTAAAGTAAGACTTATTGCCGTTTTTTTCACTTAATCTAGCTAGGTAAACATGGTTTGTATAAAAAGTAAACTAGTATTTCCCCTTTAACTTTTTTTTGTTATAATTCACTTGCCTTAAACATTACAATTTACTTTTATAATTGAGTTTTTAATCAATTAACCTAGCTTGAAGACAGAAACTGTATATTTATATATACTGTGAGGTTTGACAAAGCATAATAGCATTTAATAAATATATTAAATTAAGTGGTAAACCTGTCATGAGCACCCCCAGAGTGATATAAAATAAAAGTTTGGTACTTACATATCCACGTTCCAGACGTACATCTCCTCTGCAGAAACGTTGAAGCTGGTGTAAACATCTGGAAGCTGAAAACAATTTACTTCAATCTTTCATAAGAGGCCCTGTTCTGTCTGTTTGGGGCGTTCCTCTCCTGTAGTGTAATATAGGTTTTAGTGCATGTGAATGGTCTCAGAGGCTAACATCCCTGTGTTCCTCCAGAGGGAGTTTCTGTCCTGCCTGAAACGCCTCCATTGGACTCCTTTGTTTACTTCTGTAACATAAGCCACTTTCACACCAAGTACTTTGCCGTACTTAGTTCCCAGTACTTAGTCCCGCCGAACTCTTTAGTCTCGTAAACTGTCTTAGTAAATCGCGTTCACACCGGAATAAGTCCCTGAGGGAGGATTAGGCAAATGAAGCCGCTGACGTCACTTCTTCTTCTGCTTTGGGTTTACTGGCAGGCCGTAAACAACTTCACGGCGTATACTGCCACCCGAAGTCCCGGAGCCCCGGGTAAATCGCCAGAAGCGCCGACACCTCATCACTCCACCGATCCCACGTTTTATTTTGTGTTGCCATAAGTTAGTCTCTCTGCGTTGGTGCGCTGGGCTAATGCTAATGCTAATAATGCGAGCAAATAAAATGCCGGCTTCCAAAACCTTTTTGGGAGTTTTACGGGGCGTGGTTTGCAATCCACGCAGCCAATCAGAAATGGGAACCTTTTTCTCCCACGAAAGTACCTGCTCTCTAGCAGGGACTAAAAAGGTTCTCATGAACTAAGTTCTAGTTCCAGATATTTTTGGTGTGAACGCAAATTCCCAAGAACTATAGGAACAATTCCTGGGAAAAGTACTCCGGTGTGAAAGTGCCTATTGTGACATCACTATGTAACACCTGCGCTTCTATTGGCTAGCGCTCCAACACATTGAACATTAAAGCACGGAAACATGTCACAGGAAATACAGGAAATCTGAACCTGAAGTTAAGCAGAGAACGACCCCTTCAAACAAACACTGAGGAAATAAAGAAACCCTCACAGCTTCAGATGGATTTCAGTTCATAATCCTTCATATTAAAACTGTTTTTATTCATTTATTCTCTATTAAAATAAAATCAGAAGAAGATCAGAGCACAGCAGAAGAAGCGAAACATAGATTATGGAATGTATTTCAGTAAACAAAATAAAAGCTCCAGCTGGTCCAACATGGGGGGGCTTTATTACAACCACAGTCAAATAAAGCACCGCTTTTATATATTCATATATATATAAAGATATTTATATATATATTTATATAGTTTTCATATACACCTTCAGGCAATGACTAGAGAGGATTCTTTACAGAATCAAGTTTCTTGTGGTTCTCTTAATTTACAGGTAAACTTAGTTTCTGGATATTTAAACCACAGAAAGAGTCAAGGCAACTTTCACCTGCCTCGTTCATAAAGTACAAAACTGGCACAGAGAACGACCATTTTTATACACAGTAAAAATGCCATAAAATTAAATTACATACAGGAGACAAAAGTTCTGTAAACCTTTCCCCGTTACAGCAAACCTCAAACAAACAAATCATTTCCAAAACAAATTCAAATCAGTATAAAACACACAAAAAAAACAACGAAACGTTTCTTTTTTTGCCCTTTGAAAAAAATGTGCTGTAGCTTTTGAACGACTTTCTGTTTTCAAACGGGGAGCGCGTGAAGTTTTAAGGAGCGAAACACGGCGGGCGCCACTGAAGCTGGAGAACCGAGCGACTGAACATCAGCAGCGCGGGAACAGCGGGAAGTAAAACAGGGAAAAAACCGGAAACGTTTTTTTTTTCCTCTGAGCAGAAAAGTCAGATTTCCAGAGAGGAAGAGAGAAAAGGGGGAGGAGTTTAAGATCTCATGACGGCGGTGAGGTGATGATGTCATGAAGTGGGCGGGCCTTTAACAGACAGTTTGGTAACTATGGCGATGGTGGCCTCCACCGTCCTGTACAGCATGTCCAGCATGTCGGGGGGGGAGGAGGCGCCCGGGAACGCCTGCGGGGAGGAAGAGGAGGAGGAGGAAGAGGAGGAGGGGGCGGGGCCTATGCAGCCCTCTGGCCCCTCCCCCACAAGCCCAAGGGATGATGGGAAGGCGGCGGCACTGTCCTCAGGAAGGAGCGGGGCTAAGCTGGTCTTAGATCCCGCCTCCTTCTCTTCCTGCACCTCCTCTGATTGGCCCTCACCTCTCCTCCCCTCTTCCTCCTCATCATTGTGTCTCTCAGGCTCCTCCCCCGCCTCCTGAAGCAGGGACGACGAAGAGGAGGAGAACGAAGAGGAAGAGGACGACGAAGACGCCTCCATCTTCTCCTCTTTGGGGGAGGAGTCCATGTTGTTTCCCGAAGAGGAGGCAGTGGGGGGTCCGGGCTCGGGGGAGGGAGAGGGGGGGTCCTGCTCCGTGCCGGGGTCGATGAGGGAGGAGGAGTCTCTCGTCTCCGTGTCCGACGTCAGAGCCTCCTGCTGCTCGGGCTTCACCTCGCTGCAGGGGGGGAGGGAGGAGGAGGTGGAGGGTAGGGAGGAGGAAGTGGAGGGTAGGGAGGAGGAGGTAGGAGGGAGGGAGGAGGAGGTGGAGGGGAGGGAGGGAGGAGCCGTCTCCCCCCCTTCACTGCTCACCCTGCGACGTTTCACTGGAGTCGCTCCCTCCTCCTCGGCTGCAACACACAGAGGAGAAAACATGTTAGAGCCGAGCGGATCTGATTTAACAGTTTCTCATCTTTTAAAGGTCCCCTATTATCCTCTTCTTCATCAATATATTACAGGTCTCAGATATATACAGAGCCTGTCTCTGATTGGCTGAAACACCAAACGGATCATTGCAGCATCCCATAATCCCCTCTGTTTCAGCCCCGTTTCCAAAGTGCTGATTCTCTGTCTGTTACTTTAGATGAAAATAAGGAGCCACTCCCCACGCCCCTCTGAGAGAGATTTGGTTACAAAGAACACAATGGTGCTCTAGGAGGAGATTCAGGTGATAAGGGGGGGGGGGGGGGGGGGGTTACCTTGGTTGCTGATTGGCTAATGGTTACACAAGCCAAAACATCGTTATGACATCATAAAGTGGCCAAAATCTGATCAGCTCATTTTCAGACAGGTTTTTATAGAAATGGATCAGGACAAAAAGAGAGAGAATCTTTGTTCCTGAAACTTTCAGAGTCTCTTTCCACAGAGGGGACACATGTTGATGTAGAAGAGACATGAAGAAGAGGGGACACATGTTGATGTAGAAGAGACATGAAGAAGAGGGGACACATGTTGATGTAGAAGAGACATGAAGAAGAGGGGACACATGTTGATGTAGAAGAGACATGAAGAAGAGGGGACACATGTTGATGTAGAAGAGACATGAAGAAGAGGGGACACATGTTGATGAAGAAGAGACATGAAGAAGAGGGGACACATGTTGATGTAGAAGAGACATGAAGAAGAGGGGACACATGTTGATGAAGAAGAGACATGAAGAAGAGGGGACACATGTTGATGTAGAGGAGACATGAAGAAGAGGGGACACATGTTGATGTAGAAGAGACATGAAGAAGAGGGGACACATGTTGATGTAGAAGAGACATGAAGAAGAGGGGACACATGTTGATGTAGAAGAGACATGAAGAAGAGGGGACACATGGTGATGAAGAAGAGACATGAAGAAGAGGGGACACATGTTGATGAAGAAGAGACATGAAGAAGAGGGGGCACATGTTGATGTAGAAGAGACATGAAGAAGAGGGGACACATGTTGATGTAGAAGAGACATGAAGAAGAGGGGACACATGTTGATGAAGAAGAGACATGAAGAAGAGGGGACACATGTTGATGAAGAAGAGACATGAAGAAGAGGGGACACATGTTGATGAAGAAGAGACATGAAGAAGAGGGGACACATGTTGATGTAGAGGAGACATGAAGAAGAGGGGACACATGTTGATGTAGAAGAGACATGAAGAAGAGGGGACACATGTTGATGTAGAAGAGACATGAAGAAGAGGGGACACATGTTGATGTAGAAGAGACATGAAGAAGAGGGGACACATGGTGATGAAGAAGAGACATGAAGAAGAGGGGACACATGTTGATGAAGAAGAGACATGAAGAAGAGGGGGCACATGTTGATGTAGAAGAGACATGAAGAAGAGGGGACACATGTTGATGTAGAAGAGACATGAAGAAGAGGGGACACATGTTGATGAAGAAGAGACATGAAGAAGAGGGGACACATGTTGATGAAGAAGAGACATGAAGAAGAGGGGACACATGTTGATGAAGAAGAGACATGAAGAAGAGGGGACACATGTTGATGTAGAAGAGACATGAAGAAGAGGGGACACATGTTGATGTAGAAGAGACATGAAGAAGAGGGGACACATGTTGATGAAGAAGAGACATGAAGAAGAGGGGACACATGTTGATGAAGAAGAGACATGAAGAAGAGGGGGCACATGTTGATGAAGAAGAGACATGAAGAAGAGGGGACACATGTTGATGTAGAAGAGACATGAAGAAGAGGGGACACATGGTGATGAAGAAGAGACATGAAGAAGAGGGGACACATGTTGATGAAGAAGAGACATGAAGAAGAGGGGACACATGTTGATGTAGAAGAGACATGAAGAAGAGGGGACACATGTTGATGTAGAAGAGACATGAAGAAGAGGGGACACATGTTGATGTAGAAGAGACATGAAGAAGAGGGGACACATGTTGATGTAGAAGAGACATGAAGAAGAGGGGACACATGTTGATGTAGAAGAGACATGAAGAAGAGGGGACACATGTTGATGTAGAAGAGACATGAAGAAGAGGGGACACATGTTGATGTAGAAGAGACATGAAGAAGAGGGGGACACATGTTGATGTAGAAGAGACATGAAGAAGAGGGGACACATGTTGATGTAGAAGAGACATGAAGAAGAGGGGACACATGGTGATGAAGAAGAGACATGAAGAAGAGGGGACACATGTTGATGAAGAAGAGACATGAAGAAGAGGGGGCACATGTTGATGTAGAAGAGACATGAAGAAGAGGGGACACATGTTGATGTAGAAGAGACATGAAGAAGAGGGGACACATGTTGATGAAGAAGAGACATGAAGAAGAGGGGACACATGTTGATGAAGAAGAGACATGAAGAAGAGGGGACACATGTTGATGAAGAAGAGACATGAAGAAGAGGGGACACATGTTGATGTAGAAGAGACATGAAGAAGAGGGGACACATGTTGATGTAGAAGAGACATGAAGAAGAGGGGACACATGTTGATGAAGAAGAGACATGAAGAAGAGGGGACACATGTTGATGAAGAAGAGACATGAAGAAGAGGGGGGCACATGTTGATGAAGAAGAGACATGAAGAAGAGGGGACACATGTTGATGTAGAAGAGACATGAAGAAGAGGGGACACATGTTGATGTAGAAGAGACATGAAGAAGAGGGGACACATGTTGATGAAGAAGAGGGGACACATGTTGATGAAGAAGAGACATGAAGAAGAGGGGACACATGTTGATGTAGAAGAGACATGAAGAAGAGGGGACACATGTTGATGTAGAAGAGACATGAAGAAGAGGGGACACATGTTGATGTAGAAGAGACATGAAGAAGAGGGGACACATGTTGATGTAGAAGAGACATGAAGAAGAGGGGACACATGTTGATGTAGAAGAGACATGAAGAAGAGGGGACACATGTTGATGTAGAAGAGACATGGAGAAGAGGGGACACATGTTGATGTAGAAGAGACATGGAGAAGAGGGGACACATGGTGATGTAGAAGAGACATGAAGAAGAGGGGACACATGTTGATGTAGAAGAGACATGAAGAAGAGGGGACACATGTTGATGTAGAAGAGACATGAAGAAGGGGAATCATACATCCTGTCATGTACACAGTTACAGTAGGGCCTTTGTTATCATGTGTACTCTGATATTGGAAGAGTACATTCAGGATTTTCCCAACACTTTTAAACAGAACGTGTGTGTGTGTGTGTGTGTGTGTGTGTGTGTGTGTGTGTGTGTGTGTGTGTGTGTGTGTGTGTGTGTGTGTGTGTGTGTGTTGTACCTTTGGCCTTGTGCTCCTTGGCCTCCAGCTCCAGAGCGCTGCGCTGCTGCACACACACTCTGCATCGAGCCAGCAGCTCCTGCAGGGCGGGGCCGAGCGCCGGGTCCACGGCCTGGGGGGGGGAGACGGAGAGCAGCAGCACCAACGCCCTCAGGTCCTGGAACAAGATCCATACAAGATAAGATAAGAAGTACTTTATTGATCACAATGTGGGAAATGTTTGCGTTGCAGCAGCATCAAAGACAGGGCATTGTACATTGGAGAAATTAAAAGACTGGAAATAAACAATCCAAAATGTACACGTCTCAAATAGAAATAAAATAGCAACATGAAAAAGTTTCTCAAATCATAGATATCAGACTTCACTGTCCACACAGCATGATCTCCTTTTAGTGTGTCCTTTTTTTTTCACC